GCCCGGCGGTGGGATCGGCTGGATTCCTTGCAACTGTTTGTTGTTATTTCAACTGCCAGTGCAGACTGTATGTAGTCAAAGCATCTCATAGAAAAACATTGCTTTCCATGTTGTGATTGGATCTTATTCATGCCTTAAATTCTAATTTTAACTAGGCAAACAGTGATGCGATAGAAAAGAGCTACCTGATAACCAAAAGAAGTCCTTTAGAAGAAAACAGACTGTAGTGAATTTGAGCAAGGAGATAATTCAGGAAGAAAGCACATGTTCTGACTTAATATCAATATGTATCCTTAGGAAGAACTGCACAGAAAATAAAACAAAAAAACAACAAACCTACCCCCACCCCCACCCGCCCCCCCCCCCCCCCCCAAAAAAAAACAAAAAACCAAAAAACCAACAAACAAAACACCAAAAGGAAGAAGGTGAAAAATAAAACAGTCAACATGGAAGATGGGGTGAAATGTAGAAAAGGGGAGTGTGCTTGGGGATGCTTGCATGAAAAGTACTGATTTACAATGGTGAAACATTGAAAGGACTTTGGAAATAATACTCAGTGCTGTCCAAGTCAAATATTCACCTAATGCTGCAGTCTTCAGATATGGACAATGAGATAACAGTGAGAAAGGGGCTAGTTCAGAACTGCTGCAGGGGCAAGCTGCTAGTATCCCAAGGATCTGGGCATGAGGGAGAAAACATAACCATCCTTCAAAAAGATAACTAAAATACTGAGAGATTTCTTAGGAGTTGTATTTAGTTTCCTGTAGCCAAATGATGGCTGTATATGAAGCACTTGACTTCCAGTGCACTTACTTGCAGACTGTTGCATCAGAGTAGCCATTATCTGGTATAAAACATGGTAGGTCTTCTGTGCGTGGAGAACTTGAAAGCACTTAATTTTATTTGTGGTTGCAAGTGTGGAAGGAATTTTAAATGAGTAATAGTACTGGAGAGGGAATTTGTCAGGAATTCTAGGGATAAGCTCCTTGTTCTTGAAAGCTTTACTGAATAAACAGTACAGGCCAACTCCCAGAAGAGTTTGCTTTGTGCTCCTGTTTCAATATTGAAGGTATATATGGCTTTGCCTGTTATATTAATTGACTTTATTTATTTACTTCAGTAATTTCAATCATTCCTGACCTTTCCTAAGACTTTCTGGTTTTGTTCTGAGAACTTGTGACTGACTCCTGAATAACAAAAGATCAAACGTTCCTGTTTGGAAGATGGAATAAGTGTTGAACCTGCAACATTCTCTTGCCTAAATGTTGTCAGCTTTACTCAAAACCCCTTCACATGTGCCGAGTGACATTTGATACAGTCATTGCTCTATTCTTCTGATTATTCTCCCTCTCTAACAATTTTTGGTAGAAAAGACCCAAGATAAATGTAGCAAATAACGAGAAAAATCTTACTACCCTTTAAAGCTGCTTCTTTTAATCAGACAAGGGGGTGGCAGCACGTCTTGCTCAGTTTGGAGAGAACATAGTACTGCTTTAGCAGTTCAACTCTCCTGCAGATTTAGGTGGTGCGGGTTTTGGATGTATAATAGTACTACAGCAAGAAGTGCAGGGTGGGGAGCCTCTGCTTCAGAGAGCTGCTTTGTAATTCGTGCCACGATAAAAATCAGTCCCTTAGTCATGGGCAGCTCGAATAAAGAAATCCGGGAGTTCAAACAAAACAGTCTCTCTCTAGTTAGTTTCACTTTTTGAGCTCACACAGTAAAGCAAACTGATCCTTGAGTTTTTGGAACATTATGCTCACTTCATGATTTTTAAAATTGCTTTCTTAAAGGCTGTGGATCAAACTTACCCAGCTGCCTTAAACTTGGAATACCAGTATTTGAATTGCCATGTAGTTGTGTGTTTCTGCCTCCTGCCCCAGCTTATTAGTTGAATCAGACTTTCTGGACTACAGAAAGTGGTCTTACACATCTTTATAAATAAAGCTCCAAGTCTGGTAACTGGCACTGTGAAAGGAAGATCATAGATCATTCACTAAGAGACTAAGATTCCAACTCTGAGACCTAAATCACTCTCTGAAGTGGTGAGAAATGCTGGAAAAATGTAAGGAAGAGTTTCCATAACAAGTGAACAACAAAGCTTTAAACTTAAGTGCCAGCCAGCTGTCTGTTATAGATGCACTTTTTAAATAGCAGAAAGACTTGGACCATATGCAAAAGTGTAATTCTAAGAATGAAGAAGTCGCCAATATGAGTCTTGAATTTCATGCTGTCGAAAGCTGACTAACAAGAATTCCTCTTCCTGTTAGCATCTGCATCCGTTGATGATGACTGTTCATGTAACAGTCAAAAAACTAGTAAAAACCTACTTACCTTGCCTGTTTAATTCTGGGGGAAAAGGCAGACTGGAGAACTTCAGGGTACAGCTGTCCTGGGTGCCCTCCTAGGCTGTGCTATTGGGAAGGGGCTGCTGTCCTCAGCTGCCTGTTTCTTCTCCTAGTCTACTAATTGCACAGTGTATTTTGGACAAAATCAGGCTGTGTGAGATCACAGGTGTGGCACACAGCTAATAGAAGTGCCTTTTTGGACCAATACAGCTGCATGCAAAAGATCCATGGCAGAAACACAGTAAGGTGCTTAGGTTTTGCTTTTCTGGCATAACTGATTGCCTTAAAAATTACTTAGTGGAGCAGCTCTTTTCTAGAAGCAGTCATGCAGTATGCACGAGAACATGGGAGGAACTGAGTGCCCACAGGTAGAATGGGATACTACCGTGGTTACCGATTTGAGAAACCTGTTTTAGTGAAAAACCTAAACCTGTTTTAGTGAAAAATTCACCCTCTTCCTGTGGGTAGAGGATGAATGAAGCATGAAGTAATCCAGAATGAGGGAAACTGGCATGAGGAATTGATGGTGCACCTCTCAGGTTGTTCATGGATCCTTGTCATGTGGCAAATGGAGAGCTTCAGTTCTCTGGGGTACATGTTTTGATTTAATATTGGGTGTTTCCTGCTTTGGACTCTAGATCTTTCCAAAATGCTTCAGTGTTAGCATATAAATATACATACATGTGTATGTTTATTCAAAGCATCGTGCTGTTCCTCTGCACGCTTTTTGATTGCAAGTCGGCTGTGATCACCATGCCTGTGACTTGTATCCTAATGGGCAAACTCTCCTTCTCTTTTAGGATTATCTTCCCTCACAGCAAGATATACTGCTGGCACGAAGACCCACAAAAGGGATTCATGAGTACGACTTTGAAATAAAAAATGTTCCTTTCAAAATGGTTGATGTAGGTGGCCAAAGGTCAGAACGGAAACGTTGGTTCGAATGCTTCGACAGTGTCACGTCAATACTCTTCCTTGTTTCCTCGAGTGAATTTGACCAAGTGCTTATGGAGGATCGGCAAACGAATCGCCTTACGGAATCCCTGAACATTTTTGAAACAATAGTCAATAACCGGGTTTTCAGCAATGTCTCAATCATTCTCTTCTTAAATAAGACGGACTTGCTTGAGGAAAAAGTACAAAAAGTGAGCATCAAAGACTATTTTCCAGAGTTTGAAGGGGATCCCCACTGCTTAACAGATGTCCAAAAATTCCTGGTGGATTGTTTTCGTACTAAACGCCGGGACCAGCAGCAGAAGCCCCTCTACCACCACTTCACCACTGCTATTAACACAGAAAACATCCGGCTAGTTTTCCGTGATGTCAAGGATACCATCCTTCACGACAACCTCAAGCAGCTTATGTTACAGTGATGTGCAAAAAGACATTTTTATTTGAGTAATTTTTGTGTGTGTTTTTTTTTTTAACTAGAAGTTTACAGCAGGAGTAGAGAAATCCAGATCCTGTCAGACTTCTTGATAATGTGGCTAAAAGCTGCTGCTGAACACATTATTGCCAATTTCTGCAGAAATTCAGGCTTAATCTCTTCCAGTGTAGCTTCAAGTTGACTCAAGTTGTAATTTCATAGCAGACCTATGTCTAAGTTACCTGTAAAGTGATAAATTTGACCTTTTAAGAATGTGTATATTATCCTAGAAAGTTCATTCCACCTTCAGAATTCCAAGTCCAAACTTCAGTTAAATGGTTGCAATTGTTAGACTGTGGCGGTAATTTAAGGGGGGAGAAGCTTTTCACATCTAACTTCATTATGAAGACTGTGATACTATAGCTGACATGATTTCTCAGGTCTGTTGTTGGTTAGAAATCCCATAAATCCCTTGCTGGCATCATCTGCTTGAAGCTAGGGTTCCTGGGTGTAACGTACTTCCTGTTTAAGTATAAATCTTTGCATGGGGTTTGACTAGGCGATGCTTCAAAAATACTTAGATTGGGAGCTTCAGACGTCTCTGGCAGGAAGTACTACCGCAGGCAGAAGCCTAGCGACGAGGAATTAGTGAATGGCACAGTACACGGTTTCACGCTATTGCATTGTACGTACGTCTTAGAGCCATGGCAAAGCACAGAGCACTATGATACGGTCCTCTTGAAATTCTGATGTGGGAAGGGGGAGCAAGCTAAACTTGTATTTCTTATCTTCACTAACCAGATGTTACATGTAGGTACCTTACCTGTTCTTGAAGCGCTTTAATACAGCACTGGTTTATTTTTACTTTCTTTATGACTTCTTACAGTGTGCCTCATCTTAATCAGTAAGCATTTGGTGAGGGATAGAAGTACTTGCAAACCTAAGTGCCTCCTTGTGTTCTGTCCTCCTACGGTATTTTCAGTGGCCTTATGTGAACATATGTGTTCCCAGCAGAGGCCTTGTGTAGCTGACACCGTGAAGATGAATGTTTTCTTCTGAAAAAAGAACATGTCACAGCAGAACATGCTTCGGCTGATGAGGTTCTTTCTGAGACTTTCCAATTGAGTCTAGCAATCCTAAGTGTACTTGAGCCAAATATGTTGCACAGCACACTCCAGAGTGCTGCTTGTGACTGAGAATATTTTACAAAAAGTTCCATTGCAGTTTCATTTATTTATTTTTTTTTTTTTTAGGTGGGGTTGTTACCATTGCCATGTAATTTAAAAAAAAAAATAATAAAAAATACTTCTTGCCCAGAAATCCTCATACACCACACAGCATGAGAGTAAGCTTGTGAGCTTGTGTTTTCAAAAGTAGTGCCGCTACCAGGTTTCCCCCAGACCGTAGTGTCACATAGGCAGTTCAGCTTGCCACTTTGCCCCGTGGAACTGGCCAATTCCTGTGGATTGTGATGCTGGCCAATACTTGCTTAAATGAATTTTTATTAACATACTGCACATGTGGCAAGCGGTGTGACATAATATTCTCACTGCTTGGAGCAGTGTCCCTGCTAGAAAATAGGAAAGCTGCCTGTCTTTTGAACTTAGCCTTTTACTTACTGTGATTGTCAGTTGTATTAACATCTCTGTACCTCGTTCTCCTGTCAGTAGAAGGGGAATAGTGTATTTTTATTTAGTTAGGTGCTTTGAAAGACGTCTATTTTTTTATATCATCCAATGAGTAGTCATAGATTAGTCTGCGATTTCTGCGATAAGGCACTATTTTGGGAGGGAAGAATTCTGAAAAGAGCTTGGGAGAAGTCACAGTGCATAATCTAAACATAAAGTCTGGGTGCAATGCTGATGTCAGGATGATTAATATAGTCTGTAGATGGGGATGTTTAATGTAGATTTTGCCTCCTTACTGGGCATGAGTATGATTACTTCTGGTTTGATGTCTTCAGGTCATATGTGAGCAGTTAAAAAAGAATGATGAACTAGAGACCTCAAAAAAGGCTAGTGAGGCTATTTGAAGGATTGAACAACATGCCTGTAATGGGAGTCCAGAAGTTCTCCATTTCCCTCTCTGGAGAAGGATGACAAGCTGATTTGGTTGAGCTATAAATGCTACATGAGCAGACAACGAACCTCTGTCTAGTGGCCTCAAAGTCCACTGTTGGAAAGCAGAAATTGAACAAATCCATGCCCGTGTTAGTCAACAAGAGGAGTAGCAGGTTTGTTTTTCCATTGCTGACGGGTGTCTGAACAAGTTTCTTTTTTTGAAAAGAGACTTATCTCTGCTCTGATTAAAATAATTAATTTGGAGAGGGTATGTAGTATGTGTTTTGCAGGATGTCAGACTAGAAAAGACTAAAGACTGGATAGTGGATGATACGAAGATTACCAGGAATTTGTCTAAACAAATTTGTTTATGTAAAATGTTGATGAATTTTGTGTCAAGGGACCTGTTAATTTACTAAAGATCTTCAAAACGGATGTCAGCCCAAGGATATAGTCAGTATCACCAAGGCGCTGGGCTCTTCTGACATTAGCTAAAGTGGGAAAAACATTCAGCAGGCTTCTCCCCTGAGCCAATGCAAAAAATCTGGTTTTAATCCTTTCAGATCACTTTCCCTGTGAACACCAGGGCCTGTAAGATAGCAAGGTGGACCCCACAGTGTTGGGTCACTTCTGACAAAGTAGGCCCTGGTAGATAAGCACTATATGAATCTCAGGCAGAAATGAATTATTTTAATGAAATGACCGAGTCAAATCACTCGCGTTTCCCACTCCCACTTCTTCAGAGGGGGTGAGGCAACTAACCTTGATGTAACTGTTTACATGGTTCCTGTGTTAACGTACTGGCTCTACAAACCAAATCAACATTTGGCTTTTCCACCTTCAGACTTACTCTTCATTAGCTACCTGAAAAGGAGCACAGTATGTACTATTGTATTTCTTTTTAGATTTGTTTCCAAATATTATTTCTCTATAGCAGGATATAATTTTGGTACAAGAGCCGGAGGATTGATGTTTTGAACAGACTGATTTTTATCCTGAAGCAAACAAATGAGTCACGGTTGGCTAGTAAGAGTGAAGCTTGTTCATGTAGGCCAGTCTGTGGCACAAGGTCAGGACATATTTCTAGACAAGGTGGGAAAGCAGGTAGAAAATCAAGTTTCCCAAAACTTTCTTAGTTCTCTTTGATGGAGTGAGCTCTGTTAAAAAGATCACTGATCACTGACCATGTGGAGGTATACCACTGTCTTGTACAGCCTTCCTGTACTTGAAGGTGAAATTGGTGTTTTAGCGAGTGTTCCCTGCTGCAGTGTGTTAAACTGAGTTGATTGATACCTGAAAACTGTGGCTGTTCATCAGGGCTTTAAAAATTCTGCTTTTTTTTTTATATATTGTATGTGGGAGCGTAAGCCATCAGTTTGTGTAAAACTTAAGCTTTCTTCTAGAATATCTGCTCTTAAAAAAAGTGGGTTCATTGATCTCAAGAATGTATGTTGGACTCATTTGTATAGTAAGTAGCTTTAAATTCTGCCCATCAGAATTATTCTAGGAAATTGCTCAGATCAGGTGGGTGTTTCAGGCTTCGTGACACTTGGCTAGTAATAGTATTTATGATCAGTCCCAGAAAGCTTGTTCAAACTGCATCTGCTCGCCACGCTTGGGAGCAACTCACTGCTTAAAGACTGAGAACTGGGCGTGTTTAACATGCCCATTGCCCTGGGAAGACTTCTCTGGCTATTTCTCTTTAAGGACAGTTGCAGAAGGTTCATTCTCCAACAATAACATTTCCTGTTTCAAAATGCTCAGAAGTTTCATGCCATACCCAGTTGTTCACAAGTTAACTTTACAGGTCTTGCCTATTTGATGGTACCATTAACATAGTTGTTTTTTTTTTTTTTAATTTCACAGCATTGCAATACAGTGCCATTTTGCAATTTCTTTGCATTGTACTTGAAAATAAGTTGAATTGCAGACTATTTAAAACTGCTTTCCTGCGCTTTCAGTAGCAGTGAGAGCTTACCTTACGTGAAGCCTTTATGTAAAAATATATTTTGTAACAACCCAATAGATCTTTAACAAAACCAGGATTTGTAGTAGCTTTGTATAAATGTTTGGGGCTTACAATTTTATATGTTTAACTTTTTATATCCAGGGACTACTTTTTATTGTAAATGTTTTTTCTCCTTGCTTTAGTTTAAGATTGGCAATAAATTATTTCAAAGGGAGGTCTTAGAAGAAAAAGCATCACTTCCTTTTTATAAAACGGTTAAATTGATTAATAGTTTAAAACCTCTTACACTCGCTTGTACATTGCTCTGTACATACTCTACAAAAGCGTTGCCTTCCAGGTAATAATTAATATTTGCCTTGTGTACAAAAATTACTGACAATGAATAAACATATACAGCCTTATGTTGGTATTATGAAATTATTTTTTCCAATTCATAATGTGTGGAGGCAGCCAATTGACTTTTTTTGTTCGTTGGCTAGGGCCAGCTGTTTTGCTCCTGCCACATCTTGTGTTTCAAATAAAATATGTAATAGAGTTAGCCTCTGGTCTCGAGCAAGCTCTTTGCTAAAAGGGCTCATCGGATTCTTGTTCAGCCTGATTGCTTTCTCTCCAGTAGAGAGGCAAAGGGAAACTGCTGACTTGCATTTGACAACCAGTTTGGTACTCAATATTTAAAATACTGATGACGCTCGTGTGTGTTCTGGCGTAAGTGGCAAGCCTCTGTATAAATTATGTATCTCAGTATTGCAGTTAGATTTTTATTTTTTTAAGCTGTTTTCTGAGTAGGCCAGCCTCTGCCTCCTCTAGAAATGGATTACTGGCTGTTTTGTAACCAGCTGCAATATGAAGCAATGTTTTGCAGCAAAACATTGATTTCTCCTTGTCAATTTTTATAGGCCTGAGATGCTTCATTTTCCACAACAGCCTTTGGATGTGGCTGGCATGCTGTGGACGCTACATCTCTGAAAATACTCAGACCAAGTCATGCTTGTTTCTGGAGTTAGTGCTCAGCATTAGTATTTGCCGTGATAGTCAGAATACATAAATGTCAAACTCGTTGCTGTACGTGAATGTGCTGTGGATTAATAGGAAGCTGCACGCTCTCCCCCAGCCTCCGCACCGAGGAGAGCAGAGCTCCCTGGGGGGGAGCCACCCCGCTCTAAGAGCAGGAGTCAGAAACCTGCCGGGTGCCCTGAGCCTTAACCCAGCTCCGCAATGCAGTTTTGGTTCCAGGTCCTGCCTGCTCCTAGGAGGGTGGTTTCTGAGGAATCACAACCTCGCCTCTTGGCCACTTTTTTGCACCGAAACAGTTCCATCAAATGAACATCATTTGTGATGTTGCTCTGACTTCGAAAACCAATCTCTTTAGGTTTTTTTGAAAGCTTTTTTCTTTTTTTTTCTTACTTCCTGAGATGCAGTCAGCCACCTGAGGGGTAAAACTAGCAACATCTAGAACTCATCTTAACAGATTGTGTTTGGTTTTTGTTTCTGTTTTTTTAAGCCCAATATTACACACGTAACTGCATCAAGGTTCACCTAGGCTTCTAGTTAAGCTCTTGTTGACTCAAGCTCTCGTTAGAAATAGGTTAGTGGTGGTGGTGTGCCGTTCAGCAGTGACTCGCAGCCTCCGGTAACCTCGCCGCCCTGATGCGTGCGGTGGCTGGCGGCGGTGGGGAGCGCCGAGGAGGGGCAGGGAAGGCGCGCGTTACAGGATTTGTGAGAGCAAGTGGAAGTTTCTTCACTTTCACAAAGCTCTTGATTTAACAAAAC